TTCTCATTTAAAATGTCGAGCTTTTAATAAATAATTATCTGAATCTTACACCCAAAGTTTTAATCTGATGTAAAATCTATAGAAGTCCATTACTGTATATAGTAACAGTCTAATATACCCTAGTAAGCTATAGTACCATCTGTGCAGTCTGCAGTTCTGTTGAAGAAAGATGTTGAATCTATTTAATTATTGTAGAAAAATAATTGATTTCTGTGCTTTTTATTTTACACGTGCATTCGATTAAGGTTGATTACATCGATTAAGCATCACGAGGTGGAAAGTGGTTCCTTTTTTTTGCTGGGAGTTTGCAACCCTATTAGTTAGGTTGTTTAATATTTCTACTAAGTACTCTTTAAAATACCAGAATAGGGAGGCTAGAGGATTTAAGTTTATTAGATTGATCAGTTTTGCTGAACTATGAAATATTTTGGGTGCAGTGCAGGTATAACAGAATAGCTTTAGTGTTTTGATTTGTTTTTTTGTTTTTGTGTGTTTGTTTTGTCTTGTTGTTTTAAACAGGGGTATGAACTTATACAAAATGCAGCAAGATATAAAAAAACAGTTTTATTGAACAAAACACACTATATCCGATTCGTATCGGCAGATATCCAAATTTATGATATTAGTATCGGACATAAAAAAAGTGGTATTGTGCCATCTCTAGTGTATAGGCAAATTTTTTATCGTATTTCATTATTTTAATTTTATTTTAATGTTTTATTTATATCCACAGATGTGTTTTAAGTTTTAAAGAGTTAGACTCATTTATGACCAACTTTACTTCTTTTGTATAATTTATCACTGTAGGTGAAGCTCGACTATTATTTGCTACAATAACTTTTCAGCGGAGGTTAAGTTGTCTGAGTGCAGCATTAATTCACCAGTTAGGTTTTAGTATCTTATAGTTACATTGTTAGACTTATAAAGGACAGTTTGGACCTTAAATCAAACATGACTTTAAATTCCAAACCAAATTTCAACGTGACTGACGATACTTTGCATTGTGATTGTTGATATTAACTTTGAGCAGTTGGACACAATCAGAAATTGCAAAATCAGTGAAGCTGTCCTTTAAGAAACCTGGAGTTTACATTTATGTAGTTTTCTTCTCAGTGCACATGCATTAATGCAATAATGCATAAAAGCACGTTAAGGTTTATCGTTCCTTGGCTTCACATTTACTTTGTACTTTGAACCCTAATAAAATAATCATCCAGACTTTGTCATTTACTGCAATCATACAGCAAAACCAGCTTTACTGTAATATAACTTATGTATACTGTGTGTAATTATGTAACAGATTTTTCTAGAACTATCATTTCATCCCTAATCGTGGACTTTCTCTGCTCTCTTCTGTAGAACCTTACAAATTATGACGTGTGCAGTATTTTCCTGGGGACGTCCACATTACTGGTGTGGGTCGGAGTGATCAGGTACCTGGGATACTTCCAGAAATACAACGTGAGTCCATGCTCAGCACGACTGATGTGAGGCATTAATGTTCTACATTTATGATCTCAGTTTGAAGTCTGTTTCATGTGAGAACTTTCAATGAGCAAAATATTAAGCAGGAGCTCATCACATTAAGCTTAATGCAACAGTGATGGAGAAACGTGTATTAATATACTGTGAGAATGATATATCTATTTTAATTCTCATCATGCATGTAGACCTGTATCAGTCCGCTCCACTCTCACATAAATCTTTATTTGTTGTCTCATAAGGTTTAAAATTCACTTAAAAACAGTAGATTTCCTCCAAGTTCAGGTGCTGATCCTAACCATGAAGGCAGCCTTTCC